TTACAGCTGAATTACAGTGACTTTAAATGTACAAGTCAATTTGCTAAGCTAATTAAAATCAGGGAGGCTAGTATTTCTAAGGTTAGCACAGTTCAGGTCCTATACAAAAATAAGTATAATCAAGAAAAATGGAATATATATCTCTGATTCAAATAGAAACTCAATAGCTGGACTTCAACGGAAATAGTGCTAGTAATAATCCGTAGATTGCCATTTTACTGTATCACTTATAACAGGAACCAAATAGGAATAAACTTTGTTTGCAGAGCCATTGATACATTAATCTGTTTCACAAAGAATCAAGTTTCTTTGAGAAACTAAATTGACCTACAGAAACACCTCAAACAGGCAGCTAAAAACATGCATCATGGAGATATAAATTCAGTATTATTGCAGAGACCTTACACTCATGGTCTGCAAATGGTTGAAGGCATCTTAGAGATCATCATGCAACTGGTGTCAAAAAAATAGCAGCAGCCCATGCCTACAACAGCATCCAGTAATTATAAGACGAGCAGAGTTCAGCTAATGTTTGAAACAACAAGATATTTTTAGAAAATTTCCCTCTTTTAGGTCATCTTTGTCCATGTTAAACCAGCTTTACAAAAAGACTGATTTTAGCTAACCAAGTCACTGCAGCAAAGGTGAACACTCTTTCCTGACCCTCTTCACTCACAAACTCATCCTTACAACACCCAACTCGATGTTCCAATATTAAAACCTGTTAAAGCTTTCAGGGCAAACAACATTGAAACAGGAAAGGGATGAAAAGGATGCTCCAAAGGAAATTATTCTTATCTATCGTTCATAAAGTGGTAACAGAAGATAAGCAGTTATAGGGTTGGTGGTATCTCTGGTCTCTGTGTAGTGTCTGAGGTATCAGGCTTCACACCTTTACCTCGCCTGACCTAAATTCTACCATTCTGCTATTTTTAGAAAAGACCTTGAAATACAGCAGCTTGTGAGCCAGCCAGGAGCCCTCAGCACATTTAACAAGGCTCAACACCCCTGCTAACCTTCTCCTTTGTCAGTGGACTCTGAGATTAATGCCATGATTAGGTGGCTTTCTTAAATGAGGTATTGTTTCATTTCAGTAATAGGAAAACTACAGTGCATAAAACAATAAAGATTTTAAACCAATTAAGCAGCCTAAAAGCATATCTATTTCCCTTAGGGCTCAATGTGTCTTAAAAAGCTAGGAAAACCCAACAGTTTCAAATCCTCTTTCCCTCCACACACCCCACAGCCAACAACTGTATTCAACCTTCTCCTTTCTAACTATTCTGTCATCTTTAGCTCTTAATTCTGGTGGAGCAGCTGTGTAAATATAGCTGGAACTAAGAAATCATAATCTTCACAGCTCAGGGATTACTTCTCTCTTACCTTCCTGAGCTGTGTGTGAGCAGGTACTTAGTCTGGAAGCACTGTCTGACCTCCCTGCCTACTCTTTCTCCTTAGATTTTGCGTTTGCCTTTGAATAAAATCAGTATGTGAATACTCAGTGACTGTGCCATTCACCAGCCCCTGCGGCAAGCAGACAGACTGCAGGCAGCATCACCCAGCCACCACACAGGTGCCTCAGATCACTCACAGCCAGCACCAATAAACCAGGACACTGGCAGGGAGGAAACTCAAGTCCTTAATTTGCCACTTGGGATTTTTTTCTGCTAGGTCTCCGAAACTGCATTTTTGCTTCTTTACAGCTGGTTTAAGACTGACTAATGCTTTGAAGAAGGGTAAGGTTACCAGCTACGTATCAGCCCTTCATTCTGTTCTCAGGTAGGTAGGATGGCTGTGGGAGCCCACAGGACAACCCCAGGCATCACCCTGCTGCAAAGTCAGGCTGTGTATTTCCCTTCAGTTTAAAAAAAAACACACGCGGGAGTTTATCCGCACAGCTTTGCAGTCTCATACTGCTAAAAATAATCACAGTCTGCAGAGCAATGCAAGAGGGGCAGGCCTTCACATACCTATGTCACTCAGGATTAAAAAAAAATAATAAAAAAATTAATGCTTTTCTCATCCTCCAGACTAAACGAACAGGAGACTATGCCCATTCACAGCTCCCTACACCTCCCTTCCAGGAGTAACAAGAGTTGTTTTGGCTCAGGGACACAAAGCTATCGGCTGTCCGAGGGGGGCTGCAAACTGTGACTCTCTCAAAAGATGAGTCACCCACCAGTAAAGTGAAAACATTGATCCAAAAAAGCACCCATTCATGCCTAGATTTCTCTCTCAGAAGTTAGACAGCATTATGAGCACATGTTTGCTAGCCTTCATGCATTGCAATCCACACACCTGAATCAAGATTGCATGTTAGGGTCGGTGCCCTATAGATAGCGTATGCAGATTGCCTATGTTTTCCACACTCTGCCTTACCAAGTCATTCTTCGTAGCATCAATGCAGTATCTAAATCCTCCTCCGATACCAAGAATGACACTCACCTCTCACCAAAAAGTTTCAGCCAGACACTAGTTAACACCCTGCTATTTGTAAACAAATGATCCAAGATGCAGATAACCTCCCTGAGAAGGCAGAGCTGCCTTCACGGAGACCTGCTGGGGTCCAGAAGGGCTTAGCTAGCCCCCACCTGACCAGCCTGCTTCCAGCTCCCACCGTGTCACAGGTAATAAACTCCTGCAGGACCGAAGTGCTGCGTAAGGTGGTACAGCAGCACCTAACTCAGGCTGGGAACCGCGGACTGGCTGTGGGTACTGCTTTCCACACAAAGGACCGATCATGTCTCAGTAAAACATGAAAACTTGAAGAGAGAAAGGTTTTATCTGTCACCTGGCTCTGAAAACCATTATCTATTTTTTTTTTCAACTGTAAATGCACATTCAGTACAACACAACTTAAAAGTGATGTCAAGAACCTGAAGGAGTCTCACCATCCTACAGTACTTTTTCTAGCTGAAACTGTCATAAGCTAATACAATACACAGCTACGCAGCTAGAAAACAGAGACCAGATCCTGAAGGCTGGTTAACTTTAAACAATTGCACGTGTATAAACAGCTGAGGCAATGCCATACCAACTTTTGTAAGCTAAGACAACAATGATAAGGTTACAAGACCTTGTGGCTTTTTCGTTTTTAACCGTACCGCACCTATTTAAATGCAATTCCATACCTCCTTAAAGTAGCAGTTTAAGATATTTAACTTACCTAGTGCCTTGAAGAACAGTGCCATTTGTAGCCCATTTTAGCAAAAGTTATTTTAAGTTGTGTAACTCCAGCATCGTAACAAAATTACACCTGCTTATTCAGCTCCTCTGAAGATTTTCTTACACATACCAGTACTTAGGCCAGAACTGTCAATTCATCATATGGAAGAGAGTGATCCCAGGCTGACAGAAATATGCCAGCAGAAACTCAGTCAGCTAAGACACCAAATGCTCTTCTGCAATCACCATTTTGTTCATAGTTGAAGACTTTGCCATAGTAATACAAAACACAGTTTCAGAGGTACAGCTACATTTGTGTATTTTACTCAGAACAGTTACTGTAATAGTCCAGCAAAACAGTTCTAGTACAGATAAAGGTATAGCTTGAACGTAAAACTCATCCTCCAAAGTTTTCTACTTCCAAGTCAGTATTAAATATCACATGATAACAATCATGACATTTTAGAAACACTATCCTCCACCTTCTCTCACTTCTTCCTTCAGAGTGCTAGAGTACAGATCAGTCACGTCTTTGTATTTAAAATCATTCCCTGAAGTTTTTATACATAGAAGAGTTTAGGGAGACTGTCACCAGATAAACACTTGCACATTTAATATGCAGAACAAAATACAGTTGACTTTTTCAAGCAGGATACCTTTTCAACTATTCCCAATAGAAGCCTAATGAATACTCAAAATGAAACAATAATTATCCAGTATTGTACAGTTTGTTTACTGGGTACAAAGAGCCAGCCTGTCACCTCACCTTCCTCAGCCAAGTAGTACTATGCACCTGATAGGAAGGAAAATGTTAACCAGATTATACCAATTACACCCCAAATTCATAGGGCTCAGCATCACTAATACAGCTTTTTCTCAAGACTGATGTTAGTAATCTACATTTTGATGTGCCATCAGTTACATAAACAGAAATGAAAAGACGAGGTTTTTGAGAGATAGGTTTTGATATTCTTGTTCAAACTTAGCAATTTTGATTTGCAGGCTAAATAAAGTTTGTCTTGTCTATGTTCAGGTCCTGAAACTAACTAGAAGCTTCCATATCTCTTGCCACATTCTACTCACTGCTGTAAAATCCGAGGAAATTCACCCAAGGCTTAAGTACACGTGAATCCCTCAGACAGCTTCAGATATATAAGCCTGAAGATACTAAACTAAGTACCACCTGTGAATACATGTGATAAATGCCCAACATCACCTATCAAACACTGCACGTAACACAAAATAGGTTCAGCTATATAAAAGATTTTTCAAATTATGCAAGATCCATCACTTCAGAGTCACTGCAGTTAATATTTCTTCTGTGAATATACAGACATGCCATTGATTTAAAGTTTTTAATGAGATACCCGCAATTTATAACACCGTGACATTTATGAGCCTCACCACATTTATAAGACTTTGGTTTTCAACAGAAATAGTTCTACCGTTATTAGAATCAATACGCGCACAGAGGTTGATGAGAATGTACCACTGCAGTAGAAGAAGTCAGACACCTTCTCTCTGCAGGCTTGTTTTGAATTGTTTATTGAGGTTTAAGAAGTCATCCACATTTCTATAAATATAGACATTACTTGAGTAAGTGACTTACAATGTCACCAGTGCAGGTACATATATAACCAACATACAAAAGCTCCACTGGAAGCTACTTCAGTTTATTCAAAAAGGACCAAGATGTCATTTAAAAAAAAAAAACCAACAAAAACAAACCAAACAGCTGTCACTTTCAGTTATTGAAGACACTAAAGTGCATTTTTGGTTACCTCCTGGACAAACAGCTGCTGGTTAAAAAGTTTGATTTTTTTTTTTTTTTTTAAAACGTATCTAAGTTACATTGATTGACATTCAGGTTTGTAGCTGTCATCCTCCTGATACATGGCAGCAGGTAAGAAAAATGTATTACTTTGCTGGTTGAGTAAAAGGAGGAAATAGATTTTGCCTTTTTTTTTTTTTTTTTTAAATCTGGTATCTCCAACAAAAGTTTAAAGAGAATCTAACATTCTGATGAGTTTTTACAGCACCACTAAAGTTAGTCTTAAAAATCCAGGCTCTGTTTTAGCCCTTTTAATTGCTAGCCAAGTATCTAAAGAGTCACTTGAAGCTCTGTACCAGTAAGAAAATCTACCCTCCCTTTTCCGTCAAGCACTATCCAGCCCAGTTAACACTGTTTGCACTCTCTGTAAACAAGAACAGCTTAAAGCATAATTAAAGCAGAACACAGGCCAATCTTGAAAATCTTCTTCCCCCGCTCCCCACCTCCCCACTCCCCCCACCCCCGGTAGTGTCAAATGTTTGTGTATAAAGCATTATTACATTCCTAACCACAAAATACTTTAAGAGTCACAATGAAAAAAGCATACATTGAAAGTGACATAGCAACACCACTTTAATAAAATGGGGTATTTTGGGGAGATACAAGATGTGCTCTGCTAATTTTAACTCCATCTTTACTTCATTATAATTTTGTTTTATTGCCAGAAAAGTCACCAGTGGAGTGAAGAATGCTGCAGTGGATAGAACCACAACAGCCAGAGTTGTTCTCTGTAGCTCCTTTACTGCAATTAATTTACTTGTAACTTGATAGTAGGAGGACATAATACTCATAATTCAGAAATAAATTACTAATTTTGAGTAACAGTTTAAACCTGATTAGCACTGTATAATGATGAATGGCTACTTCTAAAAAATAAAAAAACCTTACATACCAAAAACATGCTATATGTTGGGAAACCACTTTTTCATGCTCCAGTGTGTTGTTTACATTTCTTACTCATCAAAAAGTCTTTCTTTTATCAGTTGAAGAATCCACAGCACTTAGATTTCAAGTATTTGAACTGAACAATTCAGTTTCAGAAAGTGCCAAATTAAAAAAACTACACATGTAGCCAAGCTTTCATAGAAATCCCCAAACAAGGTAAAAAACAGCCTCTCGAAATAATGGGTTACTAGCTTCATACATGTTTTTAAAGCTGTATAATGTTCACCTAAACACTCCACTTACGAGCATTAAAGTTCGGAAACACAGAACACCTTCAATGCAAATTGCTTGTAGAGGGCACCCTCAAACATATGAATACAACACTAAGCAGAAAACCCTCATTTTATTTGGCTATTTAGACATCCATGTCACATATACCCACCCATCCATTTCCTGATAGTATTACATCATCTATTAGGGCTTCTGAAATAATGCAGAGCCATAAAACTCAGAAGAGACTAATTAAAAAAAAAAAAGTTCCATAACTGCACAGCCTTCCACACGGCAAGGTTGTGCAACTGATTGTTTAACGTAACTAAGCGTAACGGCATCCAAACCAGCAGGCCTGGGTTTGGAAGCCGTCTTATGTCAAATTTTGACCATGTAACTACTCTAAAATAGAAAGGTCAAAATAGAACTCATCTCTTCTTTTTCTGCTGCCTCAGCATTTTCCTTCGCTTAATTATCATATCATGTAGTTTCTCCAGTCCCTCTTTGAGTCCATCTCCAATGATTGCACAGGTAGGCTGCAAATGCCAGGGAGTTGAAGAACTCAGCTCACTCATCGCTAACATTTTCTCAATTTCAGAAAGGGAGAGAGAGTTCCTCAAGTCCTGCTTGTTAGCAATGATAAGGACAGGCACTCCTTGATTTTCCGATATCCTAGTAATCTTATGAAGTTCTGTTTTGGCCTCCTCCATTCTCTCAACATCGACAGAGTCCACCACAAACACAATGCCATCGGTGCACCTTGTGTACGACTTCCACAGCGGCCTCAGCTTCTCCTGGCCACCTACATCCCAGAAGTGGAAAGTGACCGTTTTCGAGTTGCCCAGCGTCACTTTGATTTTCTCCGTATTAAATCCTTTGGTGGGGACAGTGTTGACAAACTCATTGAACTGCAGTCTGTAGAGCACGGTCGTCTTTCCAGCGGAATCCAGTCCCAAGATGACAATGTGAAAACTCTGGAAAGAGGGCAGACTGGAGAGGATCGGCGTCTGGTCCGAGAGTCCATTCCCCATTGCCAGAAGAGAAGGTGACAGCGGGCTGCCACGAGCAGAGGCCGGCTCCCACGGCTACGCTCGCCGCCGCGCTAGGCTCGGATCCTGCCAACGACACAAGCGGCCTTAGCCCACAGCTGACCCCCCGCCGCCTCGGCCGGCGTTTCGCGGCCGCAACGCGCCGGCCAGCGCCGCCGCCCCGACTGCGGAGGCGGCCGCAGGCAGCGCGACGCG